CTCGTGTCGCTCTCTGGCGAACGACACCGTCCTCTGGCACCACCGCCTTGGTCACCCGTCTGTGCAGCGCCTGCGGGCCATGCACAAACGGGACCTTGTTACTGGTCTTCCCAGGGTGCTCCCTCCTCTTCCTGACTCTCCTGCTCCTGACTGCATTCCCTGTGTCGAGGGGCGGCAGCGCGCCGCTCCTCACTCCTCCTCCTTTCCCCCGACGACCGCTCCTCTGCAGACGCTCCACATGGACGTGTGGGGCCCAGCCCGCGTCCGTGGTCAGGGTCAGGAGAGGTACTTCCTGATAGTTGTTGACGACTACTCGCGCTACACCACGGTCTTCCCCTTGCGCGCCAAGGGTGACGTCCCTGGTGTTTTGATCCCCTGGATCAGCCGAGCCCGTCTCCAGCTAGGCGAGCGCTTTCACTCGGACTTTCCTGTCCTGCGCTTGCACTCTGACAGAGGTGGTGAGTTCGCCTCCGACCTCTTGGCAGCCTACTGTGCTGAGCACGGCATTGAGCAGTCGTACACGCTTCCGGCCTCTCCACAGCAGAATGGGGTTGCTGAGCGCCGCATTGGCTTAGTCATGGAGGTCGCTCGTACCTCCCTGACCCATGCGGCTGCTCCCCACTTTCTGTGGCCGTTTGCGGTCCGGTACGCAGCACATCAGCTCAACCTCTGGCCCCGTGTCTCCTTGCCGGAGACTTCCCCGACTCTACGGTGGACGGGAGAGGTTGGCGATGCGTCGCGTTTCCGGGTCTGGGGATCTCGAGCCTTTGTCCGCGACACGTCTGCGGACAAGCTCTCACGTCGCACTGTTCCCTGTGTCTTTCTTGGCTTTGTTCCCGACGCGCCTGGATGGCAGTTTTACCACGTCACCTCGCGCCGGGTTCTGGCCTCTCAGGACGTCACTTTTGACGAGTCCGTCCCCTTCTACCGCCTCTTCCCCTACCGCACTGCCCCACTCCCCCCCCCGCCTCTCTTCCTCGCTCCAGGTGCTGAGGTACCAGACCCCCTCCCCCCTCAGGGTGCCGCTCCCTCAGGTGTGTCCCAGGTAGACCCGGGTGAGCCTGTCGAGGTAGCTGTTGACTCGCGTCCTGCGTCTGGGGGTGCTGAGCCTGGGAGTGCTGCGTTTGAGGGTGCGGAGCCTGGGGGTGCTGAGCCTGGAGGTGCGGAGCCTGGGGGTACTGAGCCTGGAGGTGCGGAGCCTGGAGGTGCGGAGCCTGGAGGTACTGAGCCTGGAGGTGTGGAGCCTGGAGGTGCTGAATCTGGACGTGCTGAGTCTGGGGGTGCTGAGTCTGGGGGTGCTGAGCCTGAGCGGGCTCCACCTGGAGGAGCCCCCTCCTCCCAGCAGCTGCAGGAGAGGTACCTCGAGTACTGCCGCCTCCGGAGAGGTGCTTCTGGAGCTCGTCCCGGTACTTCCCCTCCTACCCAGGAGCTCCCCCCCATTCAGGTGATCCGCGAGTGGTACACGCGGCGCTGCAGTCTTCGTAGTGGTGCTCCTGGTGCTGCGGACCCGAGCGGTGGTGCTGTTGCTGGTACTGAGGACCCGGACGCTGGAGCTGCTGCTGGTGCTGAGGACCCGACCGGTGGCGCTGCTGCTGGTGCTGAGGACCTGACCAGTGGCCCTGCTGCTGGTGCTGAGGACCCGGGCGTTGGAGCTGCTGCTGGTGTTGAGGACCCGACCGGTGGCGCTGCTGCTGGTGCTGAGGACCTGACCAGTGGCCCTGCTGCTGGTGCTGAGGACCCGGGCGTTGGAGCTGCTGCTGGTGCTGAGGACCCGACCGGTGGTGCTGCTGCTGGTGCTGAGGACTCGGGCGTTGGAGCTCCTGCTGGTGCTGAGGACTCGGACGTTGGGGCTGCCACTGGTGTCCCTGCTGTTTCTGGAGACGCTGCGCGGCCGCGACCGTACTTCGTACCGCTCCTTCAGCAGGTTCTTGGTCAGGCTCCTCCTCTTAGTCCTCCTCCCTCCGTAGCGTGTCCTCCGCCTGTCCAGCCGCAGTCACAGTTACCGCCTGTCTCGCCTCTCCCTGCTCCCTCCCCTTACGCTGGTCCCACAGGAGGTCTTACAGAGCGTCGTGAGCCTGAGTCTCGTCCTGCGTCGCCTGTTCGTCCTGCTCGCACTGGTCGTCGTGTCCCACGTGAGCGTCCTCCTCCTGTCCCTGGCACTCACTACATGACTCTACGTCCCTCCACTGCTCCGCAGCGTGTCCCGCTGCCGTCTCCTCCTGCGTCCTCTCTTCCTACTCTTCCTGACCCGGAGTCTGACTCCCGTCGTGCTGCCGGTCCCACTGTTACGCGTCTCCTCGCTACAGTTGTCACTGACCCGACCTTTGAGTCCTCTGCTGCGTCTGCCCTGGTCGCTGAGTTGGTTGACTTTGCTGCTCGCTGTCGCCTAGACTACGCTGCCAGCCTTGTCGCTAGGTCTGAGTCTGCGTCTGCCTGTCCTCCGTCCGTCGGGGGTGAGTGTGCCCTCGGCACGGACGTCCTTGAGGACAGACAGGAGGAGTTCCACTGCCTTGCTGCTGCTTTGCCCCGTCTCGTGTCCTTGCTAGTTGCCCCTGAGGGAGACCCGGATGCACCAGACATCCCGACCCCACGCTCTTACGCTGAGGCGATGGCGGGTCCCTACTCCTCTCAGTGGCAGACAGCCATGGACGCAGAGATGGCCTCCTGGAAGTCCACAGGCACCTACGTAGACGAGGTTCCCCCTCCTGGGGCGAACATTGTCAGTGGCATGTGGATTTTCAGGGTGAAGCGGCCGCCGGGTTCTCCGCCTGTTTTCAAGGCGCGCTACGTGGCTCGAGGCTTCAGTCAGCGAGAGGGAGTAGACTTCTTTCAGACCTTCTCCCCCACCCCGAAGATGACTACTCTTCGGGTGCTGCTGCACATAGCTGCTCACCGCGACTACGAGCTTCACTCTCTTGACTTCAGCACTGCTTTCTTGCAGGGCAGCCTGCACGAGGAGATCTGGCTGCGTCGCCCCCCTGGCTTCACTGGGTCAGTTCCTCCTGGCACCCAGTGGAGGCTTCAGCGGCCGGTCTACGGTCTCCGCCAGGCGCCACGTGAGTGGCACGACACACTGAGGACGACACTTGCGGCTCTTGGGTTCGCTCCCTCTACTGCTGACCCGTCGCTGTTTCTACGCACCGACACCTCGCTGCCGCCGTTCTACATCCTCGTGTACGTCGACGACTTGGTCTTTGCCACTGCTGACACCGCGGCACTCGCTCACGTGAAGTCGGAGCTGCAGAGGAGACACACGTGCACAGACCTGGGTGAGCTGACGAGCTATCTTGGCTTGCGGATCACCCGGGACAGAGCACGGCGCACCATCACCCTGACTCAGTCACACATGGTGCAGCAGGTTCTCCAGCGCTTCCGCTTCACGTACTCCTCGCCTCAGTCCACTCCTCTGCCTACCGGTCACTCGCTCTCAGCTCTGCCTTCGGATGAGTCCGTAGAGCCGAGTGGCCCGTATCCAGAGCTTGTTGGCTGCCTCATGTACCTGATGACCTGCACTCGACCTGACCTTGCATACCCTCTTAGCATCCTAGCACGCTATGTCGCTCCTGGCCGTCACCGGAAGGAGCACATGGATGCTGCTAAGAGGGTGTTGCGCTACTTGTGCAGTACGTCGGGCATGGGGCTTGTGCTTGGAGGGCGAGACCGGGTTGTTCTCACAGGGCACTCAGACGCTTCTTGGGCAGACGACCAGGCTACTCAGCGGTCGTCCCAGGGTTACACCTTCAGCCTTGGCTCTGGCACAGTTTCTTGGCGTTCTACTCGCTCTTCTTCTGTTCTCAGCTCCAGTTGTGAGGCTGAGATCTACGCCACAGCCATGGCCGCTCAGGAGCTACGCTGGCTGACCTACCTGCTGACCGACCTCGGAGAGCGGCCTCGTTCTCCTCCAGTGCTGTACGTCGACAACAAGGCTGCCATTGCCTTGTGTGAGGAGCACAGACTGGAGCACAGAACGAAGCACATCGCTCTGCGGTACTTCCTGGCTCGAGAGCTGCAGCAGCGTGGTCAGCTTTGTCTGCGTTACGTGGCCACGGAGGCCAACACTGCTGATGTGTTCACCAAGGCGCTTCAGCCTTGTGACCATCAGCGCTTTTGCACTCTGCTAGGCCTTGTACCTACTGGGCCTCACTTACTTACCTCTTGACCTTGCTTGTACTGTGATCACTATATATATATGCCTACTTGTTTACGTTTGCTAGGTTGTGATCACTGTATCTCTTGCTTTGTTATAAACCTGCATGTGAACTGGTCTTGTGACCGCTTGCTTGTGCTCGGAATTTGTGTGGAATCCTTGAGATCCACCCTGAGCTTGTTTTGCTTTGCTTTGACTGGTCTTGTGACCCTGTGGCTGTCTCCCACTGCGCCTATGGGGGTGTGTCAAACATTGCATGTTTATATTGTCTAGGCTGTAGTGGGTTACACCTTAGGGGGTACACAAAGTTAGGGTTTCCTACTTGTACCAAACTCTGTTCTAGTTCATTCATTCCTGCTCAGTTATTTCTGACATAGAGTAGCAGCGGAAGTTGCAGCGGAAGCAACGAGGTGGTGAGCCCACCCACAGGATCGATCCAAAGGGATCGACCTGCTCTGATAGCATGTCGAGATAGTAAAGATAGTTAGGAGCCATAGCTAGGAGAACCCTAGCTAGGCAAGAGAAGTTTAGGCAAAGAGGAGTTGCACTAGTAAGAATGGGGATACAAATAGCAAACCCTAGAAGGGTTGTACTCGCTATAGAGCACCCCACTACAGGCTAGAGCATAATATTCTGACAGGTATACTCTCAGCCATAGGGAGCTCTAGTCTCCCGAGGCACCCCCAGTGCTTCAGTCTATGTAAAAACGACCATGCAAAGAGCGCACACACATTTACACAGGCCATGCACTTCCCTTCGCAGGCATTACCCTGGTCAGGTGGTAAGGGTATGTTCTCAGCCTTCCCGAGCCCCGGGCTAGGCACCCCTAGTGCTGGTTAACAGAAACAGAAACTTAAGCAGAGGCAGGGGTGTCATTGGAAGAAGCAAGGACAAGCTCGGGACGAGCAGAGAGAGCAGACACGGAACCGTCAACCTCGTTGGGGAGGCCGAGGGCCTTGAGGGCGAGGTGAGCCGCCTTCTGCACGGACACCATCATCGCTCCGAAGGTAGGACCCTGCTCACAGGAAAAAAAAAAACAAACAAAATACCAAAATACACCACCAAGCAGAGAAACAAAAAAAAAGCAGGGAAACACCCCACACCACCATAGACCATCGGCGAGCCCAAGGGAAAGAATTAGAATCTGAAACGGTCACGAAATCGACGGCTGAAGCTGAGATCCGTACCATGCGGGGAGCGCCGTCAACCTCGGCGACCTCCATGCCGGTGACGATCATGCCGGGGACCACCTCGCGGGTGTAGCGCACAATAGCGCCCTCAGCGATGTTCATGTCGAGGCACTTCATGCCGGGGACCTTGTCGACGAGGCCGATGCTTTGGAGCCTCTTCACACCGGTGACGCCGAAGGGCCCGTCGTGGCCGCACGAGGACACGACGACCTTGGCCTCCATGACGTTAGGGTCCATGCAGCTCTGCGTGTCGTGGTTCATCGTTCATTGAATCGGGTTGCAACATTCTGAAAGTAAATTGTTAGCGATGTGAGAAAAAATTGCGAAAGGGGATTTTTAGACGAGGAAATTTTTGACACATCAGCAGGGACTTACACGGCCGTTCTTGATGATGAGATCCTAGGCGCACACGGCGTTGAAGAGCTTCACGTTGGGCCGCGCGAGCAGCTTGCTCATGATGATGGACGTGAAGAGCGCCGCGTGCTTGATCACCACGTAGTCCTCCTCGTCGTACGCGATCTCCAGCTCATCCAGGAAGCGGTGCGCGGGCTTGCGGACGACCATGTCGGAGAAGAGCTGCCCGCCGAGCCACGCGCCTCCGCCGGGGCTCACGGACTGCTCGATGATGGCGACGTTGACGTTGGGGTTCTTGCCCAGCTCGTACGCGCACGAGAGACCCGCGGATCCCGCGCCGACAACGACCACGTCGGTGTCAGCGTAGGTGATCATGTCGGTCATGTAGCGACGCGTCATCTCGCGCGCGACGATCGACTCCTTAATCGGCTGGAACTTGAAGTTCTGGAAGTTGTACGCCGAGTCCTGGTACATGGCGGAGATGGTCGGCGCGACGCGGACGGCCTTGGCCTTGGAGGGAGCCACGGAGACGGAGTTCCCGAGGAGCTCCGACTTGCGGAGCACGACGGCACCCTTGAGGGTGGTCGCGGTGAGGGTGGAGGCCGTGGCGCAAGCCATGATTAGAGACGAGCAAGTGAGAAAATCGCTGAAAATGATCGAGAGAGCAGGGAGATCGGCTCGGCAAAACAGACTGAATAATGCATTGGAAAATCTCTGCTCTTATCTTGGCTCGAGCTGCTGTGAGTACAGTTGTTCTCGTTTAAAGTCCGACGGAGAAACACGCCGCGCGCGGACTATATGTCAAAATGTCCGAAACCCCGGGCAAACGGGACCCTATAGTCCCAAATTCGAGAAAATTGCATGAGAAGCGGTTTTTTGCCTTTACTGGTTATTGTTTTTTGTCATATACGTACGTATGGACCGCGCTTGCTTCAAATTCTCGTCGAACGGTTTTACGCGTTATCAGTGATGCGTGAAAAACGGGCAGAAATAAACAACATCGATTATGTTTGATGCCATAATAAGTTTGTCTTTTTGTTTTTCCTTCCTGTCAGCGAGATTACTGAGATGTCATCGTGGAGCGCGCTAGAGATCGCGCGACGGGAATAAGAAACAAGCGCGGTCAAGAGAAACAAAAAATATCAGTTGTAAATGTTTACTTCAAAACAAAACTGTCAAATGTTGTAGCCTATAGTGAGGTTTGTCTTAGGGGGTACAAAACTTAGGGTTAGCTATATGTACCCCAACCAACATCAATGCACCATCCATTCTTCATTTTGACATGGTATCAGTTAGGTTAGGATCCTGTGGGATCCCGTTCCTCCGTTCTCCGTTCGAGCCTCCCGAGCCTGATCCTAGCTCTCATTCGTCCCGGTTTCGTTGTTACCGCGCGTAGTGCCGCGCCTAGCGCCACTCCTAGCGTCGCGTCCTGCCCGCCCTTTCCCCCTCGTCGCGTCCCTTTCCCCCCGTCGCGTCGCGCCCTTTCCCCCCAGTCGAGTCGCGCCCTTTTCCCCCCGTCGCGTCGCGCTCTTTCCCCCCGTCGCGTCGCGCCATTTCCCCCCGTCGCGTCGCGCCCTTTCCCCCCGTCCCGTCGCCCTTCCCCGTCCCGTCGCCTCTGCTCCGTCACGTCGCCCTGCCCCGTCCCGTCGCCCTGCCCCGTCCCGTCGCCCTTCCCCGTCCCGTCGCCCTGCCCCGTCGCGTCGCCCTGCCCCGTCCCGTCGCCCTGCCCCGTCCCGTCGCCCTTCCCCGTCCCGTCGCCCTGCCCCGTCGCGTCGCCCTGCCCCGTCCCGTCGCCCTGCCCCGTCCCGTCGCCCTTCCCCGTCCCGTCGCCCTGCCCCGTCGCGTCGCCCTGCCCCGTCGCATCGCCCTTCCCCGTCCCGTCGCCTCTGCTCCGTCGCGTCGCCCTGCCCCGTCGCGTCGCCCTGCCCCGTCGCATCGCGCCCGCCCTTTCCCCCGTCCCGTCGACCCTACGCCCTGGCCCGTCGCCCTAGCCCGTTCTTCCGCTGCGACTAAGTCCCCCCACCTGAACCCTAATTTGCCTCTTACTTCCTGCTGTTACTCACCTGCTCGTTCGCGTTCGTTCTCGCTATGGCGACTCCGCGAGTTCTTCGTTTCGACGCTGACGGTAGACCTCTTGACTTCTCCGTCTGGCTTCTTCGCGCTCGCCGTCTGTTAGAGAGTCAAGTCCAGGGGGGCGAGACCCTCTGGTCGCACGCTACTGGTGACCTCCCCGAGCCCCCCGAGCCTGCCGCTTTAGGTCCTGCCCCTGACGATGCTGCTACGGCTCGCTTTGCCCGTCAGCGCGCTGACAGGACGGCTTGGACGTCGCGTGACGCTGCGGCCTGCATCGCACTCAGCAGCCTCCTCCCTGAGTCAGAGGAGGTCCACTTCACTCAGGTTCGCACCGCTGCTGCGTACCTCACTGCGATTAAGGCCCGCTACTCTACTCCCGCTACTGTCTCTATTGGCCGTCTTTTCCTCCCGTTCCTGTTTCCTGATCTCGCCTCGTTTGAGCGCTCTGCTGACTTGATCGCTCACCTCCGCTCGCTCGACGCTAGTTACCGCGCTGCTTGCACTAAGGCACAGCTTGCACTGCTTCCTCCCCCTATGGCGATTACTATCTATTTCATCGCCACTAGCCTCCCTGACCGCCTTGCCTCCGTTCGCGACGCGCTTCTGCTGAAGCACCCTAGTGAGCTCACCGTCGATGTCCTTGAGTCTGCACTCAAGGACGTCGAGAGCAACCTTCGCTCGGTAGCCGCTGCCTCTGGTGCTGTGCCCCCCCCACTCTTCCACGGGTGCACAGTCCCGCAGTTACCCACCTTTACTGCCTCACTTGCCACTGCCGCTACTGACGCGACTGCAGCTGCTGTTACGACTGCGTCGCGGTCCCGCGGTAGGAGTGGCAAGAAAGGCGGTTCTGGTGGTGGTAGTGGAGGTGGAGGCGGAGGTAGTGGAGGTGGCGTTGCGCCTGGCGGCGGTGGAGGTTCAGGGCCTGGAGAGGCGCCTCGTGCAGTGACTGGTGACTCCACTGCGCCTGCTAGTGGTGGCGACGCCCGAGTTCGTCAGTCGCCTCCTGTACTTCCTGCCCCGGTTGGTGGAGCAGCGGCGTGGTACCAGGCTCAGTGTCAGCAGCAGCTTCTGCAGCACCAGCAGCCCCTCTCCTCCCAGCAACCTCAGCAGCAGCAGCGGCAGCAGCTGGCTCCAGGGTCGCGGCTGCGTCAGACCCAGCGCGGTGCTGCTTACACTCCCTGCACCTACCAGGTTCTGACAGGCACTCGTCGTGGCCACCCTTGTGGCCGGTTTCACCCCCCTGGTCAGTGCTTTGCTCAGCTCACTGACACGGTTCGTTTGGTCTACGGGGTTGGTGCTCCTGCCCCTGACTGGCTGCCTCTTGTTCAGCGCTACGGCTCCGCTCTCTGGGGCATGTCTGCTGAGCAGTTAGTTGATCTGATTGGTACTCCCCATGCTATGTATGCTGTTGTTGACTCTAGTGTTTCTGACTCTGCTTACTCTGGTGTTGTTAGCTTAGGTGCTAGCCTTGCTCAGTTGCCTGTTGCTAGTGTAGGTTCTTGTGTAGACTCTAGTCCAGCGGCTACCTCAGAGGACGGTTCGCTGTCGTTCACGCTGAACTCTGGAGCCTCTCACTGCTTCTTTCGTGACAGCACGACACTTATGCCTCTTCCTGCGCCTGTTTCTGTGGCGCTGGCTGATCCCACTTCGGGACCAGTCACTGCGCGTCACACTACCACCTTGCCATGTCCGGCTGCTCCTTCTGGGTCTCTCACTGGGTTTCACGTCCCCTCGTTCTCCCGGAACTTGGTGGGCGTGCGACTCCTCGTGAGTCAGCACGTGGGTGTGTGGTTTGAGCCTTCTGGAGAGACTGCGGTGTGTGTTGACGGGGACTCTTACCAGCCCCTCGCCACTTTTGCTGCTGAGCCGGGCTCCGGTCTCTACACTCTTCACACTGGCCCGCGCGCTCAGCAGCGACTGCAGCAGCAGCAGCAGCCGCAGCAGCAGCAGCAGCAGCAGCAGCAGCGCAGCAGCAGCAGCGGCAGCAGCCGCAGCCGCAGCCACAGCGGCCGCCGTCGCAGCAGCCACTCCTCCCAGTTCCTGTCCCTCCCCCTAGTCTCCTCCCTGCGTCTCACCAGGTGGTTCCGTCCCCTCAGGTTGTCGCGTCCAGTCCAGTCGCTGCGTCTTGCTCCTGTCGGTCGCTTGCCCACCCCACCGTTCTGTGGCACCACCGGATGGGACACCCTTCTCTTCCACGTCTGCGTGCTATGTCTAGTCAGCGTCTGGTCTTAGGTCTCCCGCGTGTCTTGCTGTCGCTGCCGCCGTCTCTTGCACCACCGTGCGGTCCTTGCGTCGAGGGTAGGCTGCGTGCCACCCCTCACTCCTCCTCCCTTCGTCCGGCCACCGAGCCTTTTGAGACGCTGCACTTGGACGTCTGGGGCCCCTCTCCTCGCCCTGGCCCTGAGCGTGAGCGTTTCTTTTTGGTGGTCGTTGACGACTACTCCCGCTACACCACAGTGTTCCCCCTGGCGAGGAAGTCTGAGGTGACTTCTACGCTGATCAGGTGGTTGCTTACCACGCAGGACACTCGTGGTCGTCGTGTCAGCTGTCTCCACTCCGACCGCGGGGGCGAGTTTCGCTCCGGCATTCTCGCTGGATTCTGTCGCGAACAGGGCATTCGTCAGTCCTGGACGCTTCCGGAGTCTCCACAGCAGAATGGGGTTGCTGAGCGTCGCATAGGCCTGGTCATGGAGATTGCCCGCACCTCCTTGACTCACGCCCGTGCCCCCCATTTCCTGTGGCCATACGCAGTCAGGTACGCCGCGCACCAGCTGAACCTCTGGCCACGCGTCTCTCGGCCGGAGGCTTCACCGACCAGTCTTTGGACAGGGTCCCCTGGTGTCGCGTCGAGGTTTCGTGTCTGGGGGTGCTTAGCTCTTGTCCGCGACACCTCCGCGGACAAGCTCTCGCCTCGCGCCGTTCCTTGTGTCTTCCTTGGTTTCCCTGAGGACTCCTCTGACTTCACCTTTTACCACCCTCCCTCTCACTGGTTCTTTGACTCCCGTGACGTCCGTTTCGAGGAGTCCACCCCCTACTACGTCAGGTACCCCAGTCGAGGTCTCCCGGTTCCTCCTCCCCCCCTCTTCCTGACAGCCGCTCCCCCGCCTGCTCCCCCGGTACAGCCTCCCCCCCCTGGTCCAGCCCCGTCTGGTGTGTCTCAGGCTAGCCCTCCCCCTTCGGTAGCCCCCCCTGTACAGCCTCCCTCCCCACAGTCTTCCTCGCCGCCTCCTGCAGGTGCTCCCTCTCGAGAGGTTGGTCCGGCGACTGTCCCTGTACAGGTCTCTGGTTCTGGGGGTGCTGGAGTTGGAGCTGAGCCGCGGGCTGCAGAGGACTCTTGTCTTCCGGGGGCTGGTACTGGTCGTGCGGAGTCTGGGGGTGCTGGTGCGGAGTCTGGGGGTGCTGCGTCTGGGGGTGAGGGTGTCCCTTCGGTTTCTGGAGAGCCTGGGTCTGGAGCTGGTGTTGGTGCTGCCTCTGGGGGTGGTGTGCTTGGTGCTTCGGAGGTCGACTCTGGGGCTGCCGCTGCCCTGGACACTACTCCTTCCCCCCACCCCTACCCGACCAGGTTCCAGGCTCGTGTTCGCCGTGCTCGTGAGGAGCAGCTGGAGTTGGAGAGAGAGGAGCGAGAGTTGCAGCGGCTCGAGGAGCAAGAGCGACAGCAGCAGGAGCAGCAGCAGGGGCAGCAGCCGCTGGAGCAGCAGCAGCCGCAGCAGCCGCAGCGGCCCCAGCAGCCGCAGCAGCAGCAGCAGCAGCAGCAGCAGCAGCAGCTGCCGTCTCCTCCTCCTGTCTCGGGTCTTCGGACCCTTGGTCTCCCCTCTCCCTCTCCTTCCTCCTCCCCCTCTCCTCCCGTCTCTGGTCCTCCGCTTCCTCCTCCTGACCCCTCTCCCGCTGTTTTCCCTCGTTCTCATTCTTCGTTGTCCCCTCCTCCTTCTCAGACTTGGGCCTCTCGTCGCTCCCCTCGTGCTCGTCCCTCGTCTCCTGTTCCCTTCACTGACCTTCGTACTGCCTTACTTCGTTCTAGTCCACCTCGTCCGTCTCCGTCTGTGCTTCCGTCTCCTCCTGAGTCGGCTCTCACTGCGTCGCTCCCTACTCCTGTCACTGACTACTACCGCACGTACCGTCCTCTTCTCTCTCGTGTTCTCGCCTCACTTGTTACTCACCCTCGTGCCTCTGTGTCCTCTGTGTCCGCTCTTACTGCCGCAGTCACTGAGTTTGCCTCTACCCGCCGCCTTGACTTCGCCACCGCTCTTGTGGCTGCTCCTCCTTCCAGTCCTCTGGCCGTCGGGGGTGTGTCTGCCCTTGGCTGTGACGCCCTAGAGGACAGGCAGTTTGAGCTAGAGTTCCTGGCGGCCGCTTCCCCTCATCTTTGTGCCATGCTCCTCGCCCCTGAGGGTGACCCCGACGCCCTTGACATTCCGACTCCTCGCACTTACGCTGAGGCAGTGTCAGGGCCTTGGGCCTCTCAGTGGAGAGCTGCCATGGACGCAGAGATGGCCTCCTACAGATCCACAGGCACCTACGTCGATGAGGTTCCCCCTCCGGGGGCGAACGTAGTCGACGGCATGTGGATCTACAGGGTGAAGCGGCCACCGGGATCTCCTCCGGTCTTCAAGGCGCGCTACGTGGCTAGAGGTTTCAGTCAGCGCGAGGGAGTTGACTTCTTTCAGACCTTCGCGCCCACCCCGAAGATGACCACTCTTCGGGTGTTACTACACGTAGCAGCACAGAGAGACTACGAGTTACACTCTCTCGACTTCTCTACTGCTTTCCTTCAGGGCAGTCTTCACGAGGAGGTCTGGTTGCGTCGTCCCTCTGCCTTCACTGGCTCTTTCCCTCCTGGGACCCAGTGGAGGCTGAGGCGACCGGTTTACGGTCTTCGTCAGGCTCCTCGTGAGTGGCACGACACCCTGCGTTCTACCCTGTCTGACCTTGGGTTCCAGCCGTCTTCTGCTGACCCGTCGCTTTTCGTTCGTCGTGGCACCACACCTTTCTTTGTTCTGGTCTACGTTGACGACCTTGTTTTCGCCACCCCTGACAGGGTTGCTTTGGCATACGTGAAGTCCGAACTGCAGAAGAGACACACCTGCACTTATCTTGGTGAGCTGCGCCACTACCTTGGCCTGCAGATCACCAGGGACAGAGCTGCTCGCACCATTACACTTTCACAGTCGCACATGGTGCAGCAGGTCCTTCAGCGGTTCGGGCTTCAGCACTCCACAGTACAGCGCACACCTCTTGCTGTTGACCACAGACTCACTGGACCCTTTCCTGACGAGCCGTTCGAGCCTAGTGGTCCCTACGCTGAGCTTGTGGGTTGCCTCATGTACCTGATGACTTGTACTCGCCCGGACCTCGCCTTCCCTCTCAGCGTTCTTGCGCGCTTTGTTGCGCCAGGGAGACACCGTCCTGTTCACTGGACAGCAGCTGTGAGGGTGGCGAAGTACCTAGCGACGACGTCAGGCGTGGGGCTAGTTCTTGGAGGGCAGCAGTCTGTCGTACTTACTGGTCACTGTGACTCCTCTTACGCTGACGACGCTGAGACTCACAGGTCTACTCAGGGGTACTGTTTCAGCCTGGGTTCTGGAGCTGTTTCCTGGCGGTCCACGCGCTCCTCTTCGGTCTCGACCTCTACAGCTGAGGCTGAGATCTACGCTGGTGCCATGGCGGCACAGGAGCTGCGTTGGTTGACCTTCTTGCTCACCGACCTTGGTGAGCGGCCGAGCTCTGCACCGACCTTGTTCACTGACAACAAGGCGTCTATTCTCCTTTGTCGAGAGCCACGACTGGAGAGCAGAGTGAAGCACATTCACGTCAGGTACTTTCTTCTGCGAGAGTTGCAGAGGCGTGGACAGGCTCGCTTTGAGTTTGTGGAGTCCGAGGCCAACACTGCAGACATCTTCACCAAGGCGCTTCCGCCTTGTGACCACCAGAGGTGCTGTGTGCAGTTAGGCCTTGTTGACACTGGTTCTCGTGTTGCTTAGACTTGAGTGTACTGTTTACTTTGCTTTCTATATATCTCTGTTACTTCTTGGACTGGCCTTGTGGCCACTGTTGTTTGTGCTCAGACTGTGTGGTGACGTTGTGATTCACCCTGAGCTTTGTTTCTTGGACTGGTCTTGTGACCGTACTCGTTTGGTTCTGCTAGACACCCCTCACTTAGGCTATGGGGGTGTGTCAAATGTTGTAGCCTATAGTGAGGTTTGTCTTAGGGGGTACAAAACTTAGGGTTAGCTATATGTACCCCAACCAACATCAATGCACCATCCATTCTTCATTTTGACAAAAACTGCCCTTTTTAGCATTCTCCGTAAATGTTCAACGCACTTATCGTGCAATGAACCTGGTCAAAAAAGGGACTGTAGAGGAGGGGCCACACCTAGGAATTAAAGGAAAAGCTCCTCATTCTGAAAATGGGACTTTGTGAGCGCGGGACTTTATAGCGGAACCATTTGTATCGAGGATTCAGGACGCAGGATGACTCTTGGCGGAAGCAGAGAGGGGAATGCGCGGGGAGGCGGGGGAAACGGCTTTCGGCGGAAGATGAACACGGGAACTGGGGGGAAATTTGGGGAATGCGAGTTGAAGAATTCTGGGGTCTGGGGGAAGCACGAATGTTGCAGCAGCAGGAGGAGCGGAATGTGGAATATATATTGCACTGCCTGCGTCAGCAGGCAGTGCAATCGAGTCAGCGCGGGCAAGAAAAAAAATAAACCCCAGTCGGGGGCATGCCATCCGAGGGAGCCTCAACCCTAAAATCTTAGGGTTGAGGCTCCCGAATGGCATGCCGTAAGCCATGGGTTTATCTTTTTTGCCCGCGGGCAGCGTGCTGACTCGGTCGGTAGCGCTACCGGGCGCTACCGACCGCTACCGGCTCTCGAAAGTGAAATATATTGACGGGGTTGACTTGCAGGCAGCTGGATGTGCGATTGGATGGTCCCCTGTTCCTTGGATTGGAGCCTCGTGGGCTTCGCCATCTCTTTTGGTCGCACTGCTAGGTCGACAAAGCGGATCTCGCCAGTGGAACGTTGCCACGTCAGAATCAATAGGCATCCATTTCGTAGCCTACTCATCGGCAATGTCGTCCATGATTGGAACATGCACCTAGTGATGCCATGTCAGAGGTATCAGCTGTTTTGTTATTGTATCGAGCTGTAACAGATTAAACTGAGGGAGCCTCGGCAGTGCATTTTCTCATCCACTCTAGGTGTAGGGAAACGCCAACAATGTGTGTCTGCACGAATTACCAAATTCCATCCAAAGCTGCTGATGTTTCATTCATTCACCGTGATACCAGAAGATGAATGTTTCATGCCACGTTGCATTCACAGTGTCAACGAGGCCCAGTTAATAGATGCACATAAAATGTAATTGCAGTGTACTCCAGTCAAGTGCCAACAAAAATGGATCTTTCTCCCACTGCTGCCGAATTAGCAGCTCGATTACTTCCAAAGTCTCTCTTATTGGCCTCCTTTGCAATGCGCGATCTAAACTTGAGTGTATCACAGTACAGGTGAAACAGGTACAGAATCATACATATATATGTAACATTGTAGCACAGTAGAGATGGACCAAGAAAAGCACATGAGCAGCAAAGCATTCACATGCATGTGCAAACATTTTGAACCAAGTCGTAGAGAAGTCCTACAAACTCGTAGTTGTAGCAAAAAGTGTGTGGCATACCTGAATGGCTCGTTTGGGCAATGCAGCAGCTCCTGGCAGACCAAGCTTGCGAGCAATCTGACAAGGATGATGGGAGGATGATGGGAGGATGACGAGGGGATTATGAGGGGATGATGAGAGGATAACAAGAGGATGATGGGAGGTTGATGAGGGGATTATGAGGGGATGATGAGAGGATGATGAGAGGATGACGAGAGGATGATGAGAGGATGACGAGAGGATGACGAGAGACGATGAGAGGAGGATGAGAGGATGACGAGGAGATGATGAGAGGATGATGAGAGGAGGATGAGAGGAGGATGAGGGGATGATGAGAGTGCGGTGAGAATGAAAAGGATGAAAGACTCATCAACTGTGCTTATATGAAAAGTGATGGAAGTCACAGCAATGCCACGTCACAATCAAGAAGAGCACATCAGGGTTATTACAATATCAGTCCAGGATCACACCATGTCACATCACGATCAGTCATCATGTTCAGGGTTAAGAAAAAAAATCTGTTGCGCACCCGAGAACGAGAACTAGAAAACCGCCTATCACCTGTCGCTCATTAGGGATACGAGGACAAAAAACAGCCTAAATTGCACTAGCTCTCACATGTCGCAGCACAACCCTGTGCCCGGAGGGCGACGCAGGTTGGTGATGAGAGGCAGAGGCAGAGGGGAGAGGGAGAGGACAAGACGATAGGAACAACCTAGACCTCACATATGCACCTGTGGCAGCACCGCCATAACATATCAGGGCCAGGTGATTAGTGGTTTTTGAGTCGACTCAAAAGTCTTAGCATAGTGGTTCAGGGTTGTGACATTGTAATGAGCTGGCGTCTGAGTCGACTCAAAAGTCAGGGCCACCTGGCCACCATGTCATATCACCTGGCCACCATGTCATATCACCTGGCCACCATGTCATATCACCTGGCCACCATGTCATATCACCTGGGCACCATGTCATATCACCTGGCCACCATGTCATATCACCTGGCCACCATGTCATATCACCTGGCCACCATGTCATATCACCTGGCCACCATGTCATATCACCTGGCCACCATGTCATATCAGGGCCGGTCAACATAGTGGTTCGGGGCTAGGTGATTACCTGTCGCTCACTAGTTGTCCCGACCCAGACTGCGATTCTTGGGTGGACTAAAGAGTAAGTTTACAGGTTATGTCAGCTTACAGATATGAGAACAAACAATCAATACGTGCAATACTAACTGACTGTAAACCATAAACTGTCTCTCACCAAAGATACGAGGACCAAAAGTGCATCCATCACTCTGCCGTGTTTCAAATCAATTCCCTCATCTCAACTCTCACCCGCCGCAATATGAGCTTGTCTCCCGTGCCTGGAGGGAGGTGCACGCTGGTAATGAGAGGCAGAGGGAGAGCCAGCAGGGCACCCATCATTCCCTCGTATCTTGTATCGACTCTAGCTCTCACCTGTCGCAATATAAGCTTGTCTCCTGTGCCTGGAGGGAGGTGCAGGTGGGTGATGAGAGGGAGCGGGAGGGCCAGCAGAGCGCTCATCACTCCCTCATCCAAAAACGGGAAGCGCGGCTGGTGCGGGTGGGTGTAAGTAAACAGGAAGTGCAGACAAGTTCTTAGGGAAGTGAGCTGGTGAGTAAGATGCACGCAGGTTGGTGATGAGAGGCAGAGGGAGAGGCTGCAGTGTGCGCCCTCTGCAGTGTGCGCCCTCTGCATGACTCACTCGTCCAAAAAAGGGAAGCGCGGCTGGTGGTGGCAATGGTGGCGGGGGGGGGGGGGGAAAAGGGGGGGGGTGTAGCGGTGAGGGGACAGAGGGGAGAGGAACAGGCATCAGAGAAGGGAATTAGCCAAGCGGGATGGTGGATGCGAGGCGGAATTGAGAGCTTGGAAGGACGAAGGGACCAGTTGATGTGGTTGAAGAAGTGTTTTGAGACGTCTCAAAACACTTCTTCGAACAAGAGCAGGTAATGACACGAAAGAAGCACACACCGCACCCCACCTCTCTGCCATGGTCTGTCCGACAGACACCGATCATCCCGACCCAGATTGTGATTCTGGAGTGGAATAACGAAGACGATTACAGGCGATGAGACCCAGAGTGCGATTCTCAAGTGGACTAATAAAGCGCACCCCACCTCTCTGCCGTGGTCTGACAGGCACCGATCGTCCCGCCCCAGATTGCGCCGCCACAGGCGCTGCACGTCCTCCCTCATCTCGCTCTCCAGGGATGGCCAGCTGGGGCAGGGAGGGAAGAAGAGAGAGCAGGCCTTTTTTCTTTGACTGGAGGAGCAGGCCTCTGTGCTTGGTCCAAAACGCACCGGTCGTCCCGCCCCAGATTGCGCCGCCACAGGCGCTGCACGTCCTCCGTCTCACGCTCTAGGGACGGCCAACTGGGAAAGACGGGACGGACGAAGAAAAGGTTTGATATGAGGCACGCCTCTCTCCTTTGACTGAAGGAGCAGGCCTCTCTACCATGGTCCGAGAGGCACCGGTCGTCCCGACCCAGATTGCGACGCCACAGGCGCTGCACGTCCTCCCTCATCTCACGCTCCAGGGATGGCCAGCTGGGGAAGGAAGATAGGAGGGGAGGAGCGAAGGGGGAGATGAACCACACTCAGGCGATGAGGTGAACGTATTTGTGCGCAACCGCAAGTGCCACAAGCGACGCACGTCCTCCCTCATCTCACTCTCCAGGGATGGTCAGCTGGGAAGGGGATGGCAGTGGGAGACGAACACACACAGGCGACGAGGTGAGTGCATGTATGAGAGGAACCACAAGCGCCACAGGCACTGCACGTCCTCCCTCAAATCGCACTCTAGAAATGGCCAACTGGGGAGGGGAGGGCAGTGGGAGAAAAGGCACGTAGGGAAGGAGGTGAGTGTGAGTGTGCGCGGACAGCAAGTGCCACAGACGCTGCACGTCCTCCCTCATCTCGCTCTCCAGAGATGGCCAGCTGGGGAAGGAAGTGGGAGAGGAGGCACGCTGATAGGGGTCAAGGAGAATGTGTGTGAGAAGAGTGAGAGGAACCACTAGTGCCACAAGCGCTGCACATCCCCCTGTTTCTCACTCTCTGTGGATGGCCAGCTGGAAAACGGACGGAAGGGTGTGATACGGTGTGATACGGTGTGATACGGTGTGACACGGGGTGATACGGTGTGATACGGTGTGATCAGGGACCAGGGTGTTGTATGCTGGTGTTACTTTTGAGAATTCTCAAAAAGCCAACTGAACACTCCTGCCATTCCACTTTTCCACCCTGCCTGAACTTTGACCTGTGGTGAACACTGCCGCCCCACACTGCCGCCCCACACTGCCGCCCCACACTGCCGCCTCACACTGCCGCCCCACACTGCCGCCCCACACTGCCGCCTCACACTGCCGCCTCATTCTGGCCCCCAACTCTGCCCCTCACAATGCCCTACGCCCCACACTCCCCTCCACACGCCTTCCATCCCCCTTCAACTATTTGCCCACCTTGTTTCCCTTCCCTTAAGCCTTACCCACCTGTCCACCTGCCAACCCATCCCTCTCACCCTCCTTGTCGGAATTTTGTCCTGTAGCGAGCATAGCCTCCGCACTGTTCATCTGCGCCCGTCCCCACCAGCACCACTCGCGCATGTGCTCTGTACCCCTCCACACCCCCCGTCACCGCTCTGCTCCCGTCTTCCTCCTCCTCTCCCTCATCGCCCTCCTCCTTTCCCCCATAGCGTATCATCCTGCCCTCCCCTCTAGCAGCCAGCCACAGCGCTGCACCAATGTTGAGGTCCTGGGTATAAAGGGGAGACAGGAGGAGGGAACGAGAGGGGAAATATGGGGAAGCAAAGTTGGTTGGGGAAGGATCTAGACAAGGAGTGGAACCGTAGACTGTAGGGTGTTTTTGAGAATCTCAAGAACACCCTTCAGCATGAAGGATCGGGGCAAGGAGTGGAACTGTAGGCTGTAGCCAACGCCTTCCCCTCTAGCTGCCAACCATAGCGCTGCACCAATGTTGAGGTCCTGGGGGGAAGAGGAAGGGGGGAGGTACAGAAATCAGTGGCACTGTTAGGCATAGTGCTGGCGGAAAGGGGATAGCTCTCCTACCTAGCAGCAAGCCACAGCGCTGCACCAATGTTGAGGTCCTGGGGGGAAGAGGAAGGGAGGAAGGGGGAAATGGGGGAGGAGTGAGGAAAAGAAGTTGGGGGAGTTGGGAAGGAGTGGGAAACGGAAGGAATTGGGGAGGGAGTTGGGGGGAAAGCGGAGGAATAATTTGGGGAAGATTATGGGAAAGGAGGGGAGCGCCCTTCCCAGCGCAAGGGCAGGAACAAAGGCATGGCTGTTCTGCAGCAGCAGCACCACACCGCCGCCAATTCGGGTCCCCACAGTGGTGGGGCACTGGTGGGGTGGCACATACCATGCTGGCGTGGCACATACCATGCTGGCATGATTGGGTTGGGATTACCATGTGCGTGTGGGATGGGCAGAGCAGGGAGAGCAGGTGCGTTTTGACTCGGTCCACTTCTGAGAGGGTCGAATCCACCTCCACCAGATGCAACCTGCAGCACGAGTAAACCAAATCAGAAAAGAGGATGATGGTGGGATTAGTGTTGAATGCACCTCCACCAGATGCCACCTGCATGAGGAGAAAAAAAAAAGGGAGAATGATAATGGAATCAGGGTAAAATCCACCTCCATCTGATGTGGGAATGTGGGAATTTGTGACCCCACTCCTGCACTCCCAACTTCCCACATTCCCACACCCCCACACTCCCACACCCCCACATTCTCACACCCCCACACTCCCACACCCCCACACTCCCACACTCCCACACTCCCACACTCCCACCCCCCACACTCCCACACTCCCACATTCCCACACTCCCACACTCCCACACTCCCGCACACCACACCACCCTCCTCGCATCCTCTCCCTCCCATCCTCCATGTCTGCCTGTCTTGTCCGGCACTGCCGCCCTTGTAAACCCCACACTCAGGAGCTGACCTCGCCCCGCCCCCACACTCAGGAGCTAATTCCCTGTCTCAACCACCTCCTGCCCTCGTATGCTTGAGCCAGGTCCATCCTTCCCTTGCTGCCTGCATGTTCGGCGCTGCTGCTCCTGCGATATTCACATACACGAGCTAATAACCCCCCCTCCACCCCTGCCCTTACCATACCACCCCCTATCTCACCCACCTCCTGCCCTCGCATGCTCCCACCAGCTCCCTCACTCCCATACTCGCTGCCTGCCCGTCTGGTGCTGCTGCTGCCGCTATAGTTCACATGCATGCACAAGCTTATAGCCATACCCCTGCAAGTTCGCCTTCTCTCTCACCTCCTCCCCTCGCATGCCCGCACCAGCTCTCTCACTCCCGTTCTTGCTGTCTGCCTGTCTGGTACTGTTGCTCTCCATCATACAAAGCTCGCATTTAAGAGTTGATAACTCTCCACCCCTACCCCTGCCAATCCCACATTTACTCACCTCCTTCCCGCGCATGCTCGCACCGACTCCCTCACTCCCTTCCTCCCTGAATGCCTGTCCGGTGCTGCTGAAAGCCTTCCTCCCTCACTCACATCCAAGAGCTGATAACTCCCCACCCCTTGCCTACCTTGAGGTCGTTTTTGAGGCGCCTCAAAAACCACCCCTTGCCTACCCCACATTCAACAGCTCACTCCCTCCCTCCCATACACCACACTCCCACACACGCCAATCCCCATCCTCTCTCACCTCCTTCCCGCACATGCTCGCACCAGCTCCCTCACTCCCATCCTCGCTGTCTGCCTGTCCGGCGCTGCTGCTCCGGCAAAGCTCACATTCAAAAGCTCGATGGGCCCTGTGTGTGGTGGAGGGAGGAGGAGAGGAGCATGGAGGGGGGGACGAGGAGGCGTAGGAGGAGGAGGAGGAGGAGGAGGAGGAGGAGGAGGAGGAGGAGGAGGAGGAGGAGGAGGAGGAGGAGGAGGAGGAGGAGGAGTAGGAGGATTGGGCAGCACCCATTGACCCGGCAGAAGTAGGTCTGAGATGGCTTTGTAGACGTAGAAGCGGAAAAGGGTAAACAAAGAACAGACAGAAAACAAAAAAGAGCAGGGTCTAGAAGAACATAACAAGATGGAAGAACAAAGGCAGAAGCGCTCGGCTCACGGCGGTGGACAAGCACGCGGCAGCAGTCCTCTCATGGACTGCCAGCAGCATGGAGTCCAACACACACAGTGGCACCAGGAGGACGTCACTGGTGCCACCCGCGAGCACCGCCACTAGTGCCACCTGCTCCTCCCTGCTCACATGCCCTGCTGGACACACACACACACACACACACACACACACACACACACACACACACCACTTCCACACACCCACACACACTCACGGTGGATGGGCATGTGGTGGTGGGCCAGTGCCGCCAGCAGCATGGAGTCGAGCCCCCCTGAGAACAGCACCGCCACCGGTGCCACCCGCTCGTCCTCCTCCCTGCTCACACAATCTGCTGATGCACACTTATGCACGCACCCATGCACTCACCCTGCTGCTGGAAACCCATGCCCTCATACATGCACACATGCAAGCACTCACGGTGGATGGGCACGTGGCGGTGGGCCAGGGCGGCCAGCAGCATGGAGTCGAGCCCCCCTGAGAACAGCACCGCCACTGCTGCTACCTCTGCCTCCTGCTCCCTGCTCACAATCCCTGCCACTGCTGCCACCTCCCCCTCTCCACTTGGCTGCTCCACATGCCCTTGTCGGTTCAGTGGGCCCATAGGTTCCCCTTCTCGAATGCAACTTCTCTCTCGAATATGCGTCACACGAATCCCCACTGCTCTATTTAGTGCTGACAACACACCATCCGCTGCTGAGTCAGCGGCATCACCTGCCGCACCGAAGTACGACACCTCAGCGCCATCACCTGCCAGCTCGGCACCTTGGGTTGCCACGTCAGCTGCCACCGGTCGCTGCCACGTCAGCAGTCTCTGAACTGTTCTATCCTCCCATTCGTGCCGAAACCATTCCCATTCGCCCTCCCTCACACTTGCTCCCTCACTCTCTCTCAACCCCTCACTCACTCCCTCACGATGTGATGGAAGCACAGTGCTGTATATCCCCCACGGCAGCTCCTTCCAGTACCCGAACTCGGGCAAACCACTCTCATCAACCGCTTCCCCACCACCACTTCTTCTTCCTCTTCCTCCTCCTACTGAGTTTTGGGTCGACTCAGAACTCAAACCACTCTCACCAACCGCTCCCCCACCACCACTGCTTCTTCCTCCTCCTACCTCCCCTCCTTCTCCCGCCTCTGCTCCAATCCCTCGCTCAGCAATCACCACTCCTCGTTCCCCTGCCCCTTCTCTCGCACTTCCCCCTCCACTCTCTACTCTTCCCCGTCCTGTCCTCTCTGCTCTTTCCAACGCCCCCTCCCCTGTCCGCCCTTCACTCTCTGCTCTCTCTGAGGAGAGGCAGGGAGGACAAGGCGACGGGCACACGCTGCTCACCACAAAAGTGCTCCGCCCTCCCCTTTCCTCCTCCCCTCTCAAACCCCCACTCTCCTCAATGCACGGCCCATGATCCGTCCCCCAACCCCCCTCGCAGCACGGTCCGTGGAGCAGCAGGCTTCGCCGCCCCATGAAGTCGCGGGCCAACCAGAGCGTGCCAGCTGTCGCCTGCCAATAGGCTAGCGCGAAGGGGCCGCGGAGGGCGGAGAGCAGGCGAGGGACGGAGTGGGGGTGGGGGCAGGGGGGGGCTGGACGGGCGGAGAGAGGGGAGGAGAGGGAGGGATGGGCGGAGGGAGGAGAGGAGGTGGAATGTTGTGAGGAGGAGACAGGAGTTGATGGGATGTTGCTGCTGCTGCTGCCGCTGCTGATATGGTCTTCAGTAGTAGTGGTGGTGGCAGCGTTGTTATTCTGACCATTCATGATGCTTGCCGCACCAGGGGTTGTACCAGGGGCTCGTGCAGAGGGGCAGCGGCAGGAGCAGCAGGAGGAGAGGGCGGAGAGAAGGCACAGCGCATCGTTCTGCTCTGGTAGAAGGTCGGGCAGCCCGCCAAATATCTCACCTGCCCATTGTGCAACAAACCGTCCCGGTGAGCGAAGGATAGGGCAGGGGGAAAAAGACACAGCTGAAAGTAAAAAAAAAATGCGTATGCAACGCCAGGGAGAATCGGATACTATACCGTTAAATAGGATGACATTGCCGTGTCGATCCATCAGCGGCTGTGACACCTCCCCTCCCTCTCCCTTTCTTGCCTCCATTTCCTCTCCTCCTGTTTCCCCTCCCTCTCTTCCCCTCGCCTCCCCGCCCTCTCTTCGGTCAGCTGAATGGGACCCACTTCGCTCCTTTCTTTCTGGCGCCTCAACAATAGACTGAGAACCACACGTCTGCCTTTGCTTGCACCCACTTTGTCCTCCCACATTCTCTCCCCCCTCACTCTTGCCCCCTTCACCATCCCACCCAACACCCTCCCCTTCACCGCCCTCCCTCCTCTCTGCAATCCCCTCAACCCCTGGATTCATCACCTCCCCTCCTCCACCCTCCTTCTCTCCTCCTCCCGGACTCTCACCTCCCCCAACATTGCCACCTCCCCCCACGCCCTCCCACTCCCCCCGAACCTGCAGCACCGCAGCTAGCAAGGACAGGCGAGTGACGGGGTGGAGCGCGGTGGGAAGTGCTGGAGAGGTCTCGGATGTGCTGCTGGCAGTGGGGCGAGGCAGCGGTGCCTTGGCAGCGGCACCAAGCGGTGGAGAGGTGTTGAAGGTGATGGGACGTGGGGACTGGGTGTTGGTGGTGGTGGGAAGCGGTGGAGAGGAATTGGTGGTGGTGGTGGGGAATGGCAGTTGAAGGGAGAGGGCGGATAATCGATCAGGGCCTCTGCGGCTGAGAGAAGCGGCAAGCGACTCGATAGAAGGCGACCCGATACAAGCACATACAGGGGTGTTTCGGGGTGCCTCTTTATAAGCACACACAGGGAGATTCAGTGCTGCAGAGGCTTCATTGCTGCGACGCTGTGAGGGTATGCCATGATGGTTACACGTGGCGCCCCCTGATTGGCAGCAGCATTCCTGATGCAGTGACAAGCACGCAGAGGGAAGGACAGAAATACTGCTGTAAGTTGGATTGAAACTTTACGTATCAAAGTTGAAACTTTACCTATTTAAAACCAGAGTCTCAAGTTCCCCTTCGTCGCCTCATCCTTCCTACCTTTGATTGGGTCGCCGGGTCCAACCAACCTTGCTACCTTTGAAACCCGTGGCGTGGACCTTGGGTTTGAAGCAGACACGACGTCCCCTCTATCCGCAAGCAACATGCTAACGATTGCCACACAAAAGAGAACCCTCCTTCCTTCCCCCCTTACCCTCCTCTCGCCCCGACCCCCCTCTTCCATCATCCAAACCCTTCCCCTGCTCACCCCCTCGCCCCCGCCTCTCCCTCCCTAAACCGTCAACCCTGAACCCTGAATCCCTAAACTCCCAACATTTGAATGGTAAGCTCTCGCCCCGAAAACCCTAATTTCTCCCACCTTCCTCCAGTCCACCCTATCACCGCCACCGTCGCCTTTCCACCCCCCAGATCAGATCATCCCAGGCACACAATCCAAAACCTTCCGAACCATCCCCTTACTCTGGATCCCTCGCTGTCGCACAGCCCGTCGCAGCCGCTCTCTGTGGACGCTCTGCCGCGCGACAGCTGATCGCCTGCAGTCGCTGGGCGACAAGCGCGATGCCGCACATGACGACGCCTTTGGAGGGTCCTAGCGTGACCAGGGAACAAGAGTTTTGCTATTTGAGAAGTCTCAAAAAACAGGGCCTTCGAAATCGAGGAACACGAGAAATCCACGGAATATGCGAGGGATAGGTGAACGAGCGACGCGGCGAATGAGGAGGCCTGGTCGAGGAATTGCGGTGAAACGTTTTTTTATTCGTGGAAACGCCGCTACGAGGTGAATAACGGCGAATTGGCGAATGCCTGCTGTTGCTGTGTGACCCCTCGGCAAGGAAAGCGGGAGGGAATGTAAATCACGCCACGATCAACGCGCCGCTGCTAGTGCTTGCTCCTGCATTGATGTACTCAATATGTGAAGAACCGATGCATGAATGGTGGTGCTTGTGATGTTGCGGATTTTTTATGGAACGCACACGCAGTGCGATCGTTGCGAAGGTTGTGATTTTCGCCGCCAGACGATGGGGCTATTTGCAGACGGACAACCGTGTCGCGATTCACGAAACCTCCTCGCAAAAAATCATGAATCAATGCAATTTCGCCAAGCTTCGAGCGCGTATGTGAGTGCGTCACGAACACTGTTACCAACATAAGCGAAATTGCTTTCTTGTTTGCATGACGTGACGAGGTTCGCATCTTCCTTTTGGAAATACCACAGAAACCGAAACCTGTCCGTCAAGGTTTGTGGAAGAACACGCCCACGCCCATGCCTTTCCGCCAATAGTCGCCTCGAGCCATGTCAGAAATTTCCAGCCTGGAGCTGAGTCAGCAATAGTCGCCTTTTATCCATTCAGGCGCTTCATTCTAAATCAAAATCCGTTCAATTTTTGCGTCACGTCACGACGGCTTCTGTCCGAGCAGACCAATATTTCCATCGCCACACCTGGTCGTTCCTTCGTCGCGATTCGCAGCTCGTGTCGAGCCCGCGACGACGCGTTTTCCCGCCAGAGCTGCCAGCCGTCATCGTGCCGGGAAGCCATCTTTTTGTGTCGGCATTTGAGTCGACTAAAAGTCATCTCGGACCGGCGCTCCCCGCATTGCGCGCTCCTTTTGGGTTACCACTTGCGCGATTTTCTTTGCAGCAGATTTCCTCTTCTCACCCCTATACTCGACTCGGAACATCCAAGAGCATACGACCCTTATTCAAAAGCACCCTAAAATGGACTCTCGCGCGCTTGCAATTGCTCCCTCCGCCCATTTCCCCCCGCACCAGTCCTTTCTTTCGCCTGCGCTGCGCGCGTCTCTCCCGCCAATGGTGCCAGGCGCAGCCGCACTTCCGCCGTTGCCCCTATCCGCGCGTCAGCGCAGGCGGAAAACAACCTTCCGCCCACCCCTCCATTTCCGCCACTCCCTCCTCCTCAGCTTCCGCCGCTTCCCCCGAAGCCCTCCCCAGACGCTCCGCGCTCGCGGGCGGGCTCTTCGCATTGGCTTCCGCCACCCTCTCCCCGTACCTCCCGCTACCCGCCCTCCCCCCCGCCGCGCACGCCGCCGCGGACGTCGCCGCAACGGTGGAAGCCGCCGGCGGGGGAAGCGACCTGCTGAAAGGGCTCCGATCCGCGTTCAATTCGGACGAGCTCACGGCGAGCGGGCGGCGGCTTCCGAAGGCGTACGTGCGGAGCGTGACGGCGCTCATCAGCAGCCTGCGCGACGCGCTGGGCGCGGAGGAGGGCGACCGGGGGAGTTCCGGCGCAAGGCGGAGGTGGCTAAGGGCGCGATCCGCGCGTACCTGGGGGAGTGGCGGGGGAAAGCGCCGGAGAACACTGAGGTGAGCGCAGAAGAAGGGGGAGGATGACAATTTTGCCTTGCCTAAAGAGTAAATGAAAAGCTAAATAAAGAAATATTGTGCCGACTCAAAAGGTGGAGGGGGGGGGGGACGGAGGGAGTTCAGGCAGAAGGAGGAGGTGGCTAAGGAGAAGTGGTGGGGGAAAGCGCTGAGGTGAGTGCAGGGGAGGGGAGGGAGAGGATGCGTTGAACAGAGGGTTGGACGTGGGGAGGGCTGAGCGTGGGCTGGGCTGAACGAAGAGAGGGTTGAAAAGAGTTCAACCCTCTCCTCTTTTCACGAACTGAAATGGGGAGTGGCGAGGGAAGGTCACTCGGCAGCAGATTGTACGAAGGTGAGAGCAGGGGATGGGGAAGATGCGCGGGGATGGGGAAGATGCGCGGGGATGGGAAGATGCGCGGGGATGGGGAAGATGCGCGGGGATGGGGAAGATTCGTGGGGATGGGGAAGATGCGTGGGATGGGGAAGATTCGTGGGGATGGGGAAGATGCGTGGGGATGGGGAAGATTCGTGGGGATGGGGAAGATGCGTGGGGATGGGGAAGGTGGGGAAGATGCATGGGGGAAAGGGTTGAGAGGTTGGATGAAAGGCTTCTTCACCTAATGCCTAGCCAGGTAGTCTCTTCTCCCTCTATGCCGCTCGTCTGAACCTCATTAATTGCCGTCTTCCCCCCTTTCCTCCCTCTCCTCCCTCTCTCCACTCCACTATGCCACCATCACTTCCTCTCTCCACTCCACTATGCCACCATCACTTCCTCTCTCCACTCCACTATGCCACCATCACTTCCTCTCTCCACTCTGCTCTAACACGCTCTCCCAGTTTTTCATGCCTGGTGCAGAAAATCAATGGGCAAGCCTCCCTTTATTTTTTGAGGCGCCTCAGATATTGACTCTGCTCCCACAACGCTCTCCCTCCCCGTATACATGCCTGGTGCAGGGGAATCAATAGCAAGCCTCCATCTATTCACCACTCCGTAACCTCCTCCCCTCGTCCCCTCCTCCCCTTTCCCCCTCACCCCCTTTCCCCCTCCTCCTCTCCCAGTCACACCATCACCTCCTCTCCGGCTCTGTCCTCGGAACATTTTTCTATGTGCGCAGTGCAGCGGATTCAACACCAGGCTGTCTCTATTTCAATCTTTGCTTTCTCTCCCTGCCTTTCCCCACAACCCCCCTTCCTCCCTATTCTCCTCCCCTCCCAATCAGACCATCACCTCTTCTCTCGACTCTGTACTCAGAACGCTCTCCCTCTCGCTTCTACATGCGCAGTGGAGTCAACGCGAAACTGCCTGCTGACGTCAGAGATGGGATCCTTGCTGACCTGGCAGTTGCAGAGGGTGCGTTATGATTGGAGGGGGTTGACTACATTCAGACTTTATCCAGCTAAGAAATACTGAAAATGTAAGCAAGGTGCTTGAGAAGTCACAATACACAAATCTCAGAAACGCTCATACAAACAAATTGGAATGTATGTCAATACAAACATGCATTTATCCACGCGATTAGAATGGTGAGGAGCCCTCAGATTGCAGGAATTTTACCCTGATTTTGCCTTTGAACCCTGATTTTCAGGGTGTTTTTAGGTCCCAACCCTGATGAGAAAGTTTTTTTTGGGTTGCGAAGCAACCTATTGCAATCGACCTAAGCAAAAAAAAAATTAAGGGAATTTTAATTAGTTGCAAAAAAACAAAAAAAACATTGTAAAATAACTGGAAAATGGTTGTTTAGGGTACCAAAAAACTTGACAATCTTTTCATAGTGATCATACCGTACTTGTTTAGCTTTCTGGTCATTTGCTGGTCATTGCTACGGTACTCTGCACATCCTTCTTTTGTAACGCGCATGATTTAGAAAGGTGAGAAACTGTGGAGAACTGCAATGACCGACCAAACGATAATTGCATTTCTCATATTCATCAAATGAATTGATGACTATTTGAAATTTTAAATTTATACCCTACCCCCTACCCTTCCGCCTTCCCCCCCTAGCGTGTCGGGGAAGTCAGCAATATAAATGTTGAATTCAACAGCTACTGTAACAAAGCAATACAATCTGCATATCTCAAAAAAATCTAAAAAACCGATCAAGTCCAGCTGAAAATGGCTTCACTGTCATAGTGGTGGACCACTCAACCTTTTGTGACGATGATCGGCAAGATATTTTTTTGGAAAATGTAGACATGCATTACGATTGCAACGAGAAGAAGCATAATACAAACAGAAATGAAACAAATCAAACAATTACTCATAGTAAGGAACTAAAAAAAATGCACTGTAAGTGGTACGACACTCCCTTCCTTCAAATCCATCCTGCCTACAAGCGAGTATCTGTGATAACAAAAAAGAAGCATCGAATACAAGAAGAAAGATGTGATACTAAGAATTGAAGCTTAAAAGAGAATGAAGAGAATGAAAGGGAGAGGACGAGAGAGAGAGAGGACGTGAGAGAGAGCGAGAGGGAGTGAGAACGAGAGGAAGAGAGAGAGAACCAGAGATCGAAAACGAGAGAACCAGAGGAAGAGAGAGAGAACGAGAGATTGAAACGAGAGAGCGAGAACCAGAGAGAGAGAGAACGAACGAGAGAGAACGAGAGAGAGAACGGAGAGAGAGAAAGAGAGAGAGAGAGAGAGAGAGAGAGAGAGAGAGAGAGAGAGAGAGAGAGAGAGAAGAGAGAGAGAGAGAGAGAGATGAGAGAGAGAGA